TTGTCTCAAAAGTTCTGGAAGATATATTCCAACGATGAATTTATTTGAATAAAACTTGCATGTGTTAGAGGTACTTATATATATTAAATATTTAGAAACAAATGTTAATTATTATTAAATATTTTAAATGGTACGGATAACAACATGTGCACATGACAATGGTTTTTTTTTTTTTTGTAATATTTGTATATATTACAATGTAGCATTAACAGTACTAAAAATATAAATTCTTTTCCTTATAATTTTAAAACATATAATTATTTATCCATTACATATAAAGTACAAAGTGAAATGTCAGCACCTTCTTAACAATTAATAATGCTTATTTTTTTTTTTCTTTTACTATTTTTTTTCTTTTTTTTCGTTTATATGAAACTGCTCTGAAAGAATACATATACCATTATTAATATTTTATCCAAAAGTAACGTTAAATATATAATTATTTATTGTACTTATTTAATATATTATTAATAAATGCTTATATTCATCAAAATTTTAAACGCGAATTACTTTACCATATTTCATGTATTTAAAGATGTGTGTGTTGTGTATGTGATTGAATTATGATTTTTTACAATAGTGTATGCAACAGTCTTAATTTGTACAAATAAGGCAACACATTACATTAGTGTCATTTTATGCAATATATTGATTTAGAACATTCAATTCTAGAGTATTTAGGTTTATAATTTAACACAGTTTATTTTAAATGAGACCAATATGTTTCTAATGGGTCTCAAGATGCTGCCGTCTAATATAAAAATCATGAAAATATATGTAAAACATGGCCTTAATATATAATAGGCCACATAATTCGGTCACTTATTAGCTATAAAATATTTAAGTATATTGTTTGGTTTTGGTTTGCTAGTTGTGGGCCAAGGTCGACTGACTTCTCTTTGTAAATCAACAGGTAAGGTCTTAAGAATTGTGGTATCCATTTTTGATGATATTTGCATTGGCGAAGATTCAAGCCTTAAACCTGCCATTTCATTGCTGGGAGTTTCTCTACGACCATTTAACCATACTTCTAATTTTGTTTTTTTTAATTGTGGTTCTACCTCACTTAATAGATCGTCTTCTGTACATTGGCTGCTACTAATAGTCAATTTTGATATTGGAGATCCATTAATGCCGGATAATGAATTTGACAAACTTGTTGCAGACAAGGAATGCTCAGAACTATCATTGCTATCCTGATTTATACTCATTGGTGACCCCAAACTAATATCGCAAATACCTTCTTCTGAACTTATATCCAAAATAGACTGAACAGCTACTTGTTTTCGTAAGAAAGATGTAATACTACTACGACCATAAGATCTTTCTTCAAACTTAGTAAAAGCAACTCCTAGAAGAGTCAAGTGAAATGGTTTAGAAATATCAACTGCACGATGGAATAGTTTCATAGCTAGGATTAACATTTTAGCATGGTCATAAACACCAGATTTAGACGAAGGAAGCAAATGTTTTGGTAAAGCACATTGTCTAGTCTCTCTTTTAGGTTTATTGAAATCGTGCTTTCTTACTGTAATTCTCATGGCAATTGGAATTCTACCATCTTCAGTAGCTAGCTCTGTTAATCTTCGTAATAATGCACTGAGTCGCTGTTCCACTTCACCCACTAATGATACACTTTTAAAGCCATCTTCTATACCTATAGATTGTTTTTTTGCAGATGGTTTTACAGCAGTTTCATCTATACCTTCTGCATTATCTTTTAACTTTCTTGCCAGATCTTTGCCGATCTTTGATTCTAGATCGTGTAATGGTATTTTGCGCAAGTCTTCAACTGTTCTTAAATTTTTTGATATTAATAGTTCTTTAGTTTTCAATCCCACCCCAGGTATTTTAGATACTGAATCTAAAGTAGACAATAACTTTGACGCACTACAGGGGAATATTAGTGTTTGTTGATTAGGTTTATACAAAGTTCCTGCCAGCTTTGCTAATAATTTATTATGTGCTATTCCAGCACTGCATGTAATTTTTAATTCCTTCCAAACTCGATCTCTTATTTTAGATGCAATTTTAGTTGCTATCGCTAATCGTAAATGACAACCACATGGACATTCTTCATCAGTTAATTCAAAGACATTACCAATTATATTTTGCGAATTTTCTTCAATCGAATCGCTAAAATTTTCATTTGACTCATCGTTAGATGAAATATATTTTTCTACAATCGATGTTACATCCAGAAAGTTATCGTCCAAGCCTAACCTTTCGACTAATGGAGTGAAATCATGTAAAATTTCCATTATTTTAGCAGAAAACTGACGATATGCTGTTAAATCTTCGCCATTTACCATGACCAATTCGGGACACAAACGTAAGGCGTCTTGCACTGGCATACATTTTCTGATACCATAACCACGTGCTATATAATTACTCGTTACCACCATATTTTTTTGTTGAACGCCAAAGGGTTTTCCATCAAATTCTGGATGTCGTAGCATTTCAACTTGTGCATAGAAACAATCAACATCCAAGTGAATTATGCATCTTGGATGGCGTATAATGTCATATTCGTAGGTATCCATTGGTATAAAATATTGCATGTATCTTGAATTTTATGATATGATGATATTAATATTACTACTCAATTTCTCATATGTTGCATTTCCATTATAAATAATAATTATCTATAATACATAAAGAATTCATATTAAGATCACAATTTGTAGAATTTTTCTTATAATAATCATTTTTATTAAAGTATCCATAATTTATTAAATCAATAAAATAGTTTTAATTAGATAATAATATCTAATTGATTACTGTGTAAAAAAATAAAATAATTTTAAATATGCATATTATATAAATCTATTCACTAAAAGTATGATTAATCTAGCTTATAGTAATACTAGATAGAGAAAAAATTTGCTTACCTTTTATAATATAGATTCAAATAATTATACAATATGCTAGAAATTTTCTTTGCATAAAAATCACTTAGCTCTCGTATTTAGTTACACATATTTTTCAATAGATTATTACGAGTCATAAATACATATAGTTTTCAATGAATTTTAAGTTAACATTTTAAAGTAAACACTAACATTAAACATTTTGTTTGTATACATGACCTAGTGCGTATTTGTAAAATTAGGTTATGGCAGAAATATTTCAACGTATATATTCACATACGTCTTTCTTCTGAATTGCGCGCTTGCGCGTATATATTATAAATAATTGTATATGTATATCTTCAAAGTTTATCTTCCGTATTAACGTATCATTCTTTTAACCGACGTATTTAACAAAATATAAAAGGTGGTATTAACAAATCAAAATATCTTAAGTTCATGTAGAAATTCTCAATGCAATTCTTCACTTATTTTAGTATACTGAGTATGTACTAACAAAGGCATATTTCTGGTACCTTTCGTACAGACTATATATATATACACGTTGATACAAATTTTTACAAATTTAATTTAATTTTATTAATTATTATACATATATTATATTTTATTTATAATATAACTTAAGATTATTTTATATTATAATTTCAACAAATATTGGACAAGTAAGAATATAAAAGTATAGTATCTTTTGTAGTTTCATAGGTACGTTCCTGAACATCCGATTGTTTCGCCATCTAGATTATACAAAAATGTACTAAATGTTCAGTATTGTAATACGTATTAATTACTTTTCAACTGCACGCAATAACAATAAAATTTTGAAAATTTACTATTAAATAACACTTTTAATCTAACGCAATTCAATTCGAGATTCTTTTTAGATTAGATTATGAATGAACTTTGTTATAAGTATAACGTGACGTTCAATATTTTTAAGCTTGCAATCGATTATCGGAAAAGTTAATCTTTTGGGTGTCGTTACATACTTACGTGTCATACAAACGTGTGTGTGGTGAAGGTCGACGCACGAAAATTATTCAAATTATCATACAAAGGAAATGTTACAATTAGATTTTTATTTCAAAATGGGTACGTATACTTATATATTTCTTATATATTTTAAATAAACTTAATGACGTGTTTAAATGAAATCATAATAATCATCATTTGAATATATTTATCATTCGTTATTTCTGCTAATTTTAATACTATACGTACTCACGTTAAAAGATTTTATATCGATCATTTCTCAATAAAAATGTAAATGTTTGAAGAAAGAACAATCTTTTTTGTTTTAAATATAGATAATTAAAATGAATTTCTTTTCAGCGTGGGTGTACGTGGCTTCTGTTGGTTGGTATATTGTTGCTTTATTAGGAGTTATATGGTATTTTTATCCATATATTCAAGATAAATATACAAGATGGAAAGTTAAAAAAGATGAGGAAGAATATGCAGCAAAATATCATAAGAGTAAGATTTTATCTTTATGAATATGTTATATGAACTAAAGCAATTAACTTTTCAAATTTTTAACACATTAGCTACCAACGTTACATATTTGTGACACACTTATTTTCATTGAGAGTATTGTATCACAGATATGTATCAGTAATCAATGCGACAAATAAGTTCTGAACTGTCATCGAAATCTTTTTTTTGGCTATTTGATTTGGCAAACAAGCAGTTCATATAATTTATTTCAATACTGAATACTTAATGCATTGAATGTCATAAAGGTTTAAATATTTCCTCCAAAGTGAACAAATAGTTTTCTTAAATTAGCTCCTTTTAATATACACACTAAGGTGGTTAGACAAATTTATTGTACAAACATTTATTTGTCAATTATTTAACAATTTTTATGAATGCGAGAGATACAAATATAAATAAATAGACTCTATATGAAACATTAGTGGCAAACATATACGAAAATGTGTGTGAAAAGATATGTAATATATTAATTTATGTTTTACTCTTTTTGAGATCCTGATCTTCTGCAACAGAGATTGTTAGAGATGGAAGCTTCTAGACAAAGAATGCAGGAAGAATATATCAAATCCACTTTAGCGGTAAAGGAAAAAGAGGAAGAAGTATGTATGAATATTCAATTTCGTTTTATGAATTGAACATTAATGTTGAACATATAAGGGATGATACTGGTAAACAAAATGATTTATTTCTGTTTCTTTCTTTTTTATTAGCGGATGCAAAAGAAAAAGGAAGATGTTAGTAATTTTCTAGATGGTAATATTTTGGGTCGTGGAAGTAAAGACGAAGCATCTACATCGAGAGGACCCAAATCAAAATCATTAAAACCAGGTATTTCGATATTTCATATATTTACTAAGCCTATGTGCAAATTCCTTATATACATCTTTACAGAGTATAATCCATTAATGGGAGACAGTTCTCGAGGCTATAGGCCACCCAAGCGTAGTTGTTGTGGAAAGGGTGGATGTGGTTGATTATACGATAATGTGCCATAGACGACTCATTAACTTTATCTATTATGCAAATTTTTGTTCTTTCGTTTTCTATGTAAAGAAAGGTCATTAAGAATGGTGGCAGTTTAATATATAACAAGTAATATTTAAATATGAAAATAAATGTAAGTATACAGTTTACTTGTTATGTATGATCATTCATATGCGAAATAAAATTATTTGTTTATATTTGTATTATATATAAACAGTTTTATATTGCAAGTAGGCTAAAACTGAAATATAATTTACGTTATTTTTATAGCAACTGTTACTACATTTTTAAGTACAAGGTTAAATTTATTATTACAATAGTCACTTAACTTTGATCTACAAAATTGTAATCAATTTGTTAAAAAGAAAATGGCAGTTTTTAGGATTGTATTACGATAATAATGCAACTATAAGATAATTAATATATTACATTCCACTCGAGTAATAGACTCAGAGAAGATAACGTTGATAATAATAATTCCGATGATTGTGCTTCTGTCAATCAAATATGTCATATAGACATATTGTCAATTAGTTTGTTGTCATTTAAATAATAACGATATCACACTGTATTCCTTGTGCGTACTCAAACATATCGTATTCGTGCTAGATCATTACAATATACAAGAATATTACCTCTTTCACGATAATTTACTTATAAATTAGAAAGTTAGGAATCGATCATGTTTTTTGTTCTTTTTTTTTTTTTCTTTTTTCATTGTGACACTACGAATGAAAATGTAATTAACAGCATTAAAATAAAATATAATGAAAATAAGAATTAAAGTCGGCAAAATGAATTATCTTTAATTTTTATTTTTATTTCGTATCATCGGTATGTTATAAAACGATATACGTATATCATTTATATTTTAAATGATGTCACTTAACAGCGATTGTTTCCAGAAATCTCAACAATCGTGCCATCATACGTAAGCATCGGCTTGTTGCTTTTTTTTATTTTATATATATATATATATATATATATATATATTTTTTTTTTTTCTTTCTTTTTCTCTATATCGAAATACACGATATACTTTGTTATTTTGTTCAGTCTCGTAAAATTAACGAATATCGGTCACTTTATAATAAATACAATTGTTGTTACGATTTTATAAACATCGAGTTTCATTTTCTCTTGTCCTTATATGATGTTATTTACAAAATAAAAAATAAAATAAAATGAAATCAAATAAAGATAAGATATGCATAATTAAAATATATAAATCGTTACGCATGATTTATACGAAAAGTCTTGATTTTAAATAGCGACGAATCGAAACATACATACATACATATGTATGTATTATATACGCATCATATAATGTATAATAGAAGGAATAGAAAATGTTATTAATTTTTGTTCTCATAGTTTCTCTTTTATCGCGCTATTTTCATAGTTTTTGTTCTTTTTCCCTTCGTTTCTTTTCTTCATCTTTTTCATTAAGATAATTATTATTTTAACCGTTGGACTATTGTCTAAGTAAATCTCTGACAGATTGTATTATTAGTACCGTTCAAAAGCGAAAAATTAAAAGCGAATAATCAATGAAAAATTTATAACGAAATTTTGCTACAGATATATATATATATATATATATATGTATATACTTAAATACAATACATATGCGCATAAGTACGTTCAAATTCATTCGCAAGATTGATCTTATGGAGGTTTTTGTTAGAATAATTATCCTACATCTTTTTAATTATGACGACGACGACGACGACGACGACGACGACGACGACGACGACGAAGATGACGGCGACGATAACACACGATGATATAATTGGCCGTGCAATATTTAATCTCATTTCATTTTGTAATTTCTCATTAATCTCTTTTTATTATTTGTTCTTATTTATTTTTGTTCTTTCATTTCTTTTTTCCTTTTTTTTTTTTTCTTTTTTTTTGTTAAAAAGTCTCCACTACAATGAGGATTCTATTTATTAGCATTTATTTACAATTCGTCGGTTAATCGTTAAACTTAATTTATAAACGAACATAATAATTATGATAGCATCGCTTAATTATGGCAGTTTCGAAAAATTCAACGAACGTAGATTTCCTTTCGCTTCTACGATATTAATGATATGAATTACTTTTTTTTTTTCTTCTTCTTATTCTTATTTTTCCTCCTCCTCCTTATTTTCTTCCTTTACTACGATTCTACAACTTTAATGTTTTACCTTACTTTATTATATTCCCATTTCTCGTGTTACAAAAGTCCTATGAACTTAAAACGTCGAATACATGAATTTTATTCGGTTCATTCGTAATGAGGGACGATGTCTTGAAGATAATTAATAAAGGAATAAAGAAAACGAGATGAGGGGAGAAAAATGGAAGTGAAAGATATAAGAAAAAAATATAATATAATATAATAAAATAAAATAAAAAAGAATTATATGCGAGGATGGCCTTTTTTACGTCTCAAGATCAACAAAGTTACATGAACATCTTGCAACGGCGACGAAGAAGCTTGTCTGGACGTTTCTATATTTTTTTTTTTAAACGTAGATTATACCATTTTTTCTGTTATCCATGCAGAAAATAATCCTTTTTCACAATATATTACAAAATCGATTAATTTGTTAATAAGATCAATATTTATAACAATATATGCAATAGTTTCAGTCAATTAATTATAAAATAATGAACACTTATTTTCTATTTTTAATAATATTTACAATGTGTCGATCACAAGAAAAAAAAAAAAAAAAGGAACGTAACAATATAATTAGATCACAAGTATCAACGTAAATATTTATATGTTTTTATAAGTTTTTCGTAGCAACGAAAAATTCTTCGACAAAATATCCATTTTTGAAAATGAAAAGAAGTTACCAAAGAAAAAAAAAAAAAGGATTATTTCCTGCATAGATCGCACAAGAATAACTATTTCTTTAACACTAAACGTACCACGTCCGGTCAAATGATCGGTTTCAAATAGAGAAATGAAAATTTCGCGTTAAAAATATCTACAAATAATTTTATTTATTATTTTACTATCGAATCTACTATCAGTATCGATTTTTATATGCATTCAATTGTAACAAAATATAACTTTTTTTTTTTTTATTAAAGACCGGTCATTTTACCGGTTATGGTGTATAAATAGGTGTATATATATATATATATATGTATATATTAAATTGTCGGTAGGTTTAGTGTTAATAATTAACTACGATTTCTTTTTCCTTCCATGTAAATGACCGATTTTTTTTTTTTTTGTTATTACTTTATTTTTTCTTTATTTATTAATGTTTCGTTTATTTTTTTCCCGTTAATAAGAAAGTGTGTTTAATTTAATGATAGAAGGGATAGAAAAAGAAAAAGAAAGAGAAAGAGAAAGAGAAAGAGAAAGAGAAAGAATGAGAAAGAGACATAATCGATAAATGCACATGTATCATAAGAAAAGAATGTTTGTGCGCACGTGTAATCGAGTGTCCTTCGTTTTTTTTCATATACACACAATACTACATTATACATGTTTTTTAAAAGCTATTACAAATAATTACGCGTGAAAGTTTAATTTTTTTTCTGCTTCTTTTTTTCTTTTTTTTTTCTTCTTCTTCTTTTCTTTTCTCTCTCGAACATATCCCGTTAAATTATTTTCCCCGTTATTCTAATTTCATTAAAAATTAAATTATGAGATCCTTCGCCGTTATGGGAGAGGGGGGCGGGGAAGGAAGCAAGGGTTGTGAGCAAGGGGGCAAGGGGTCGTAAAAATAATAACCATGCTCTTTTGTCTTTTTTTCTTCTCTTCATCTTTTCCTACCACCATTTTCTTTCTCATCACGATATCGCGTTTAATTACATTCGGAATTCTTGATTTTATCGAATTTTTCTACGCGTATCTTTACTTTTTTGTTCTCTCTCTCTTTCAGTCAGTCAGCTTGTTCGTGTTGATCTAACCAACGCTCGTACAAGGTATTATAATCTTGTATAAAAGAAAAAAGAAAGGGAAGAGAAAAGAATGCAACGTCGTCGGAAGAAAATTTCAATAAAAATTTACCGGAATTTGGTTGTCAATAATAACGTTAAGGAAACTACTATAATATCACTTGGATTATTACATAATAATAATAATAATAATAATAATAATAATAATAAAATTTAAATAAAAGAAAATATAAAAATAAGAAATGTATCTCTTTTCGCATAAATATAAAATATGTATTATTTTTTCAACGAGACTCTCTCTCTCTCTCTCTCTCTCTCTCTCTCGCGAAGAAAAATAATAAAAAGTAATACAAGTCAGTCGTCCCATCCGGTAAATATCGCTCGAAAATAATCCCATTTTTTGTATTAATATTATTACTATTATTATTAATATTATTATTATTGTTTCGCATGCTTTTCAGGAGAGACACTGGGAAGAGAAACCAAAAAATATTAGCGCGTTTAATTGTAATATACATAATTCTCATTGTATTGTATATATACATACATATACTGTGTGCCGTATTGTTTTCTTTTATTTATTTGTCGCGACGAAGAAGTACGAGCTTGCTTTTTATAAAAGAACGTGGAAAATCGTATCTTTTTCTTGAATTCTTTTTTTTTTTTTTTTTCGTCTTTTTGGATGGACTTTTTTGTAATGAATCTTCAATCGAGGACACGTGCGCACGTGGCACAAGTTAACGCGCGAAATTTTTCACTTTACCAGTCGATAACAATAAGTTTACGTTGTTATATATAACAGGCATTCAATGAATCTTTCATAGACGATTTTCTAAGGACTCCAAGGTTCGAACCGGCGAACTACGATCGTATCTGTAAAACTCTTCTCATTTTTTCTTTTTTTTTTTTTTTTATTTACTTTATTTTATTTTTTTCTTCCCTTTTTTTATAAATCGTCTCGCGACCAACGACACA